GCCTCTGACTTTGTTCACAGAATCAACAGGCAACCCTTTGCAACAGTTTGTGTCAGTCAGAACTGAACAAACGTTTAAAATCTATGCTATTAGGCAATCTAAGACATCCACAACCTTCTTTCTGAGGGTTATAGAGAGCACTTTTTGATCTTGGCATGATGACAACACACAAGACAATTGTAAAGAGAACACCAGACCATAGATGTCTGAGGTTTAAATAAGTCAGGTTCCAACTACAGTTGCAAGAAAAAGTATGTGCTCTGAACGTCATCTAAGTCACAACAATAGAAGAACACAGTCTGCTGAACATAATACTACACAAACATTAGATGTTGCCATGGTTTAATTGCACATAACATGTAAACATTCACAGTGCAGGGAGGAAAAAGTATGTGAGGCCCTAGCTTAATGACTTCTCCCAGAGCTAATTGGAGCCAGGAGTGAGCCAACCTTGACTCCAATCAGTGTGATGATATTGGATGTGTTGCTGACAGCTGTCCTGCCCTTAAAAAAAAACACACCTGTTTTGGTTTACTGGTTTCAAGAAGCACTGTCTGATGTGAACCATGCCTCGCAGAAAAGAGCTCTCAGAAGACCTACGATCAAGAATTGTTGACTTGCATGAAGCTGGAAAGGGTTACAAAAGTATCTCCAAAAGCCTTGATGTTCATGTGTCCACGGTAAGACAGACTGTCTACAAATGAAGAAAGTTTAGCACTGTTGCTACTCTCCCTAGGCGTGGTCGTCCTGTAAAAATGACTACAAGAGCACAGCGCAGAATGCTGCATGAGGTAAAGAAGAATCACAGAGTGTCAGCTAAAGACCTACAGAAATCTCTGGCACATGCTAACATTTTTGTTGACACATCTACAATAAGGAAAACATTAAACAAGGATGGAGTACATGGGAGGACACCACGGAGGAAGCCATTGCTGTCCAAAAAGAATATTGCAGCATGTTTGAAGTTTGCAAAAGAGCACCTGGATGTTCCCCAGCACTACTGGCAAAATATACTGTGGACAGATGAAACCAAGATTGAGTTGTTTGGGAAGAACACACAACACTATGTGTGGAGAAAAAAAAGGCACAGCACACCAACATCAAAACTTCATCCCCACTGTAAAACATGGCGGAGGGAGCATCATGGTTTGTCATTGATGGGAAAATGAATTCCAGAGTTTATCAAGACATTTTGCAGGAAAACGTACGACCATCTGTCCGCCAACTGAAGCTCCGCAGAGGATGGGTGATGCAACAAGACAATGACCCAAAGCATACAAGTAATTCAACAAAACAATGGCTGCAACAGCACAGAATACACCTTCTGGAGTGGGCCAGTCAGAGTCCTGACCTCAACCCGATTGAAATGCTGTGGCATGACCTTAAGAGAGCGATTCACACCAGACATCCCAAGAATATTGCTACACTGAAACAGTTTTGTGAAGAGGAGTGGTCCAAAATTACTCCAGATCATTGTGCAGGTCTGATCTGCATCTACAGGAAACGTTTGTTTGAGGTTATTGCTGCCAAAGGAGGGTCAAGCAGTTATTAAGTCCAAAGGTTCACATACTTTTTCCTCCCTGCACTGTGAATGTTTACATGTTATGTGCAATTAAACCATGGCAACATCTAATGTTTGTGTAGTATTATGTTCAGCAGACTGTGTTCTTCTATTGTTGTGACTTAGATGACGTTCAGAGCACATTTTATGCCCAATTCATGCAAAACTCTGCGTAATCCCAAGGGGTTCACATACTTTTTCTTGCAACTGTATGTATTGCCTAAAGGAGCTCTAACCATTGGCACATAATTTGGAACACCATCCATTTTATGGATTAGTAGTGATGGTAAATGTAGGAGTGTACTAAGTTTTCCCATGGGACAAATCTGCATTTTCTTTATTTAGGTTATAAGAATGAATACACTATGTCAATTCATCTGTAGGCACTTTTGGAATGAAAATCTATTGTTTGCCTGTTCAAACAGTTGAAAAAGTGTATAATTTCTATGTAGTAAACTTCTTCACACAACTGTAAAGTAGAAGTTGTTTCTATGAATATTTTTTTCATATGCCTTCATTGGTGCAGGAATATTTTCAAATCTCATGTGCAGGCTGTATGTCCTACTTAGTAGTTTTCCACAATTATGCTTCTCTTTCAATTTAGTTCATGCAGTTAACCTCTAAATAACAATACAAACATGAAAATATGATAGAGTAAGCATAATAAAGTTCAGATAAAGATCTCATAGTGTATGCTAACTGAAAGCACTTTATGGTATCTTTTTATAGTGCACCTTTGTCCATACTCTGGACATAAAATATTTACTTATTCTTAGCTAGCAGTAAACACATTTTAAAACAAACTGTCAGTGAACTTTGTAGCTGCATGTACTGTAAAGTAAATAATCCTCAAAGATCACAGCAGGTAAAAATTGGGTTTCCAATGGTTTGTAACAGGTTCTAACACCAGAAATTTTATTTACATTAGATGGCTTGCAGGTCAAGTTTCTGATGCCATAGAAAAGGGAAAAGGGCCTAAGATTTCTGTTGTAAACTTTGAAAAAGAATTACTCCACAATACCAGAGAACTTTTTAGGCCTCGTTCATATGGACATTTAGAAGCAAGCTATACATTTCTATGGGAGACTCTGCATATAATCACACATTCAATGATAATCCTGCTAACTGCCACAAATAGCTGTGGGTTCTGTCAGCCTCTCTTTACTTTGTACACTGCTCAAAAAAAGACCTTCTGCACCGAGAGAAACACATGGGTGAAATGTTGACCTCTGTTACTGAAAGTGTTAGGTGCATGGCTGTTACATTGCTAAAATTGTCTCATTTTTATTATAGGTACTTGGGTAGCGCTGTCAGGTTACGCAGTGCTTTATATATACAATTAGGTCCATATATATTTGGACATAGGCACAATCTTAGATTTTTTTTCAGGTATTTACCAAAACATATTCATGCTATAGCTATATACTGGATATGGGCTGAAAGTGCACTCTATCAGGTTTAATTTAAGGGTATGTACATACTCTTAAGAGTAGCCCCCCCCCCTTTTTTTCAAGGACCAAAGTAATTGGACCAAAAGTAATTGGACAAATGAATATAATCATAAATAAAGTGTTCATTTTTAATATTTGTTGAGAATCCTTTACTGACAATGACTGCCTGAAGTCTGGAGCCCATGGACATTACCAAAGACTGGGTTTCGTCCTTTCTGATGCTTTGCCAGGCTCTAACTGCAGCTGTCTTCAGTTGTTCTTTGTGGGTCTTTCTGCCTTTTAGTTTTGCCTTAAGCAAGTGAAATGCATGCTCAATTGGGTTGAGATCAGGTGATTGACTTGGCCATTGCAGAATATTCCATTTCTTTTCCTTCAAAAGCTCCTGGGTTGCTTTTGCAGTGTGTGTTTTGGATCATTGTCCATCTGTACTGTGAAGCGCCGTCCAATCAACTTTGCTGCATTTGGCTGAATCTGGGCTGACAGTATATCTCTAAACACTGTAGAATTCATCTGGCTGCTTCTGTCTTCTGTCACATCATCAATAAACACCAATGACCCAGTGCTACTGGAAGCCATTCATGAATGCAAAAAAGAACCACAGCGCCCAGGACCACCTTCCTACCACACTCTTTAAGTGAAATGCCGCTGTGCACAGGTATAAAGACCACAAAATTATCAACTTAAAAAACAACGCAAAACACAAACTACCTCACATCAATCAATATATGTGAACAATGCTAAATAACTTATTCATTAAATAATATTGTCAGGAATGGACTTGCCAGTGGTGGTGGGACTCACCTGCCTTGTGGGCTGCAGTACCAGGGCTGGCCAGCGGGTGCTCTCAGCAACCAGAGGCTCACTCCTGTAATGAGCCATCACCTGAAGCTGATTACAACAGGTGTATTTAAGGAATGGCCAGGCCTGTGATCAGGGCCTTGGTGTATGTTTCCCATGGGCCCCTGTACCTGCATCCTGTCTGCTTTCTGCCTGATCCAGATTCTGCTTTGATCCCTGACTCTGCATGGACTCTGCATGAACTCCGCCTGTCCTGACCTCGGCTATTCCCTGACTACTCTTCCGCCTGCTCCTTGTGCCCTGCCTGCCCGTTTGCTACCCCCGACCCGGCCTGCCCGACTATGCTTAGTATTGTTTCTATTGTTATCTGTTGGAGGTTTGGGTTGGTTGGTTTGCACTGTGTTGTTGTTTAGTTTTGTACTGCGTTTATGTTTTGTTTAGTCTTAATAAATTGTCTTATTCACACTATACCTGAAGTCTGCGTTTCCCTGTGTCAGTCCACATATTTCTGGTCATTTCTGATCAACTACTAGAATGCATAAGGATCGCTCATTGCCTAGTAGATCAGGGCACAGAGTTCTCTGAGGTGCAACCATTGATTCAGGTTTGTGTAGAGTTGGCTTCATCTGGTACCCCCCCGAATGCAAGGATGAATGTTTGCCGCCATTTAGTGCTGACCAGGTAGAGTCCCTGGTGTGGTTATTGGAGGATGATGTGGATTACTTCTTGGAGCGTTATTCTGCATGTTCACAACAGGTGCTAAGAGATTGTATAAACGCAGTGCAGTCTTTGACCAGACAGGCTTTGTGTAAGCTGAGCTTTGTTCAACCCATACTGCAGACATGGTCAGGCTTGTTGCACCCAGCCTCAGTCAGCTTGCAACGTCATTCCTCTGCTCAAGGCACTCTTCCTGCATCCCCGACAGCACCCCCAGTGACGGCCCAGTATACTCTGCTAACTACCACATATCAGTCCCCTGCTCCCACTCGCTGCACCTATCCTTTCTTTAACCCTGTAAAGAAGTCCTCTGTAGTAACTGCTCTCTCCTTTGTTCCATCCCTCAGCTCTTCTCTGCCTACAGATGCTCTATCCACTTACAAACCTGCACTTATTTCCTGCGCTGCAGTAACTAAAACCAGGGAAAAAGCAAAAATTCTTTCCAACCAATACCACCCTGCCAGTCTCCAAACCGGTCAGCCTGCCGTCTGAGAACCCACCTTTCGTGGTTCAGCCTGATGCTCGATGACCCAGTGTACCCTACCCAGCTTGATGTCTACCCAGCCTCATTGGTCCTATTATGCCAGAAGACTCGGTGCCCGCTGTCGCGCCAGATGACTCGGTGCCCGCTGTCGAGCTTGGTGACCCAATGCCCTTGGTTCTGCCAGATGACTCGGTACCTGCTGTCCTGCCAGATGACTCGGTGCCGCGCGGTTCTGCTAGATGGCTCGGTGCCCGCTGTCATGCCAGATGACTCAGGGCTCGCTGTTGTGCCAGATGACTCGGTGCCCGCTGTTGAGCTTGGTGACCCAGTGCCTGCAGTTCTGCCAGATGACTCGGTACCCGCTGTCCTTCCAGATGACTCTGTGCCCGCTGTCGAGCTTGGTGACCAAGTGCCCGCGGTTCTGCCAGATGGCCCGGTGCCCGCTGTTCTGCCTGATGGCCCGGTACCCACTGCCTTGTCTGCTGCTCCGCCTGATGGCCCGGTGCCTGCTGCTCCGCCTGATGGGCCCAGTGCCTGCTGCTGCTCCGCCTGGCGACCCAGTGCCGCGGTTTCTGCCAGATGACTCGGTACCCGCTGTCCTGCCAGATGACTCGGTGCCCGCTGTCCCGAGCTTGGTGACCCAGTGCCCGTGGTTTCTTGCCAGATGACTCGGTGCCCGCTGCTCCACCCGATGGCCCGGTGCCCGCTGCTCCGCCTGATGGCCCGGTGCCCGCTGCCTTTGCCTGCTGCTCCGCCTGATGGCCGGTGCCCGCTGCTCCGCCTGATGACCCCACCTGCCCGCTGCTCCGCCTGATGGCCCGTTGCCTGCTGCTGCTCCGCCTGATGGCCGGCACCCACTGCTATGGCCCGCCTGATGGCCCGGCACCCCCGCTGCTCCGCCTGATGGCCCGGTGCCCGCTGCCTTGCCCGCTGCTCCGCCTGATGGCCCGGTGTGCCCGCTGCTCCGCCTGATGGCCCTGTCCGCTGCCTTGCAGGCTGCTTCCGCCCGATGGCCCTGATGCCCCTGCTGCTCCGCCTGATGGCCCGGTGCCCGCTGCTGACCCTGCCTGATGGCCCGGTGCCCGCTTGCCTTGCTTGCTGCTGCTTCGCCTGATGGCCCGGTGTGCCTGCTGCTCCGCCTGATGGCCTGGTACCCGCTGCCTTGTCTGCTGCTCCGCCTGATGGCCCGGTGCCTGCTGCTCCGCCTGATGGCCCGGTTGCCCCACTGCCAGCCTTGCTTGCTGCTTCGCCTGATGGCCCGGTGCCTGCTGCTCCGCCTGATGACCCGGTGCCTGCTGCTCCGCCTGATGGCAGTCCCAGTGCTTGTCTGTTGCTCCGCCTGATGGCCCGGTGCCTGCTGCTCCGCCTGATGACCCGGTGCCTGCTGCTCCGCCTGATGGACCCAGTAACCCCCGCGGTTCTGCCAGATGACTCGGTGCCCGCTGCTGCCCGCCTGATGGCCCAGATGCCTGGTGCCCGCGCATGCTGCCTGGTGCCCAGTGCCTGCCTGTTGATGACCTCGGTACCCGCTTCCTGCCAGATGACTCGGTGCCCGCTGTCTGGACCTGCTGGCCCGGTACCTCAGCTGCCCGCGGTTCTGCCAGATGCTCCGTCCTGACTGGGTGCCCGCTGCTGCCCGCCTGCTGGCCCGTTTGGTGCCCGCTGCTGCCCGCCTGCTGCCCTGGTGCTGAATGCCCCGCTGCGCAGCTGCTCCGCCTGATGGCCCGGTGCCCGCTGCTCCTTGCCTGCTGCTCCGCCTGATGGCCCGGGCCCGGTCGCCCGCTGCTCCGCCTGATGGCCCGGTGCCCGCTGCTCGCATCTGATGGCCCTGGTGCCCGCTGCTCCCTGATGGCCCGGTATCCGCTGCTCCGCCTGATGTGCCCGGTACCCATGGCTGCTCCGCCTAAAGGCCCGGTGCCCGCTGCCTTGCCTGCTGCTCCCACCTGATGGCCTGGTGCCCGCTGCTCCGCCTGATGGCCCCGGTGTCCACTGCTCCGCCTGATGGCCCGGTGCCTAAAGGGCCCCCGCTGCTGCTCCGCCTGATGGCCCGGTGCCCGCTGCCTTGCCTGTTGCTCCGCCTGATGGCCTGGTGCCCGCTGTTCCGCCTGATGGCCCGCTGCTCCGCCTGATGGCCCGGTGCCCGCTGCCTTGCCTGCTGCTCCGCCTGATGGCCTGGTGCCCGCTGCTCCGCCTGATGGCCGGTATCCACTGCTCCGCCTGATGGCCGGTACCCCCGCTGCTCCGCCTAAAGGCCCGGTGCCCGCTGCCTTGCTGCTGCTCCACCTGATGGCTGGTGCGCTGCTCCGCCTGATGGCCCGGTGTCTACTGCTCCGCCTGATGGCCCGGTGCCGCCGCCTCATGGCCCCGGTGCCCCCGCTGCCTTGCCTGTTGCTCCACCTGATGGCCTGGTGCCCGCTGTTCCGCCTGATGGCCCGGTGCCCGCTGCTCCACCTGATGGCCCAGTACCCACTGCTGCCCGCCTGATGGCGGTGGTGCCCGCTGCTCCGCCTGAGGGCCCGGTCCGCCTGATGGCCCGGTGCCCGCTGCTGCCTTGGCCTGTTGCTCCGCTCCACCTGATGGCCTGGTGCCCGCTGGTGCCCGCTGCTCCGCCTGATGGCCCGGTGCCCGCTGCCTTGCCTGCTGCTCCGCCTGATGGCCTGGTGCCCGCTGCTCCGCCTGATGGCCCGGTATCCGCTGCTCCGCCTGATGGCCCGGTGCCCCGCTGCTCCGCCTAAAGGCCCGGTGCCCGCTGCCTTGCCTGCTGCTCCACCTGATGGCCTGTGCCCGCTTGCCCTTCTCCGCCTGATGGCCCGGTGTCTACTGCTCCGCCTGATGGCCCGTGCCCGCCCGCTGCTCCGCCTGATGGCCCAGTGCCCGCTGCCTTGCCTGTTGCTCCGCCTGATGGCCTGGTGCCCGCTCCGCCTTCCTCCCTGATGGCCCGGTGCCCGCTGCCTTGCCTGCTGCTCCGCCTGATGGCCCGGTGCCCGCTGCTCTGCCTGATGGCCCGGTGCCCGCTGCCTTGCCTGCTGCTCCGCCTGATGGCCCTGGTGCCCGCTGCTCCGCCTGGCCGGATGCCCGCTGCCCTGCTGCTCCACCTGATGGCCCGGTGCCCGCTGCTCCACCTGATGGCCTGGTATCCACTGCTCCGCCTGATGGCCCTGGTGCCCGCTGCTTTGCCTGCTGCTCCGCCTGATGGCCCGCTGCCCGCTGCCTTGCCTGCTGCCCAGCCTGCCGTGCCTCTGCCTGCTGCCCAGCCTGCCGTGCCTCTGCCAGCTGCTCAGCCTCTGCCTGCTGCCCGGTGCCCGCTGCCTTGCCTGCCATGCCTCTGCCTGCTGTCCCGCCTGACGTGCCTCTGCCTGCTGTCCCGCCTGACGTGCCTCTGCCTGCTGCCCAGGCCTGACGTGCCTCTGCTTGCTGCCCAGCCTGACGTACCAGCTCCTGATGCCCAGCCTGCTTCTGGAAATCCTGTGTCCAGCAATCTGCCTTCCTGCAGTCTCCTACGAAAAGATAGGCTTATCAGCCAATCGCTTGATTCCGGCAGTGGGATGTCCAGCCAGTTGCCGGACCCAGGCGGTGGAACATTTGGGCCATTACGGACTGTTTGGAGCGTCCTGAGGCTGCTCCTTGAGGGGGGGGGGTACTGTCAGGAATGGACTTGCCAGTGGTGGGGAAATATTTTATTTACACACCTGCCTTGTGGGCTGCAGTACCAGGGCTGGCCAGCGGGTGCTGTCAGCAACCAGAGGCTCACTCCTGTAATGAGCCATCACCTGAAGCTGATTACAACAGGTATATTTAAGGAATGACCAGGTCTGTGATCAGGTCTTGGTGTATGTTTCCCATGGGCCCCTGTACCTGCATCCTGTCTGCTTTCTGCCTGATCCAGATTCTGCTTCGATCCCTGACTCTGCATGAACTCCGCCTGTCCTGACCTCGGCTATTCCTGACTACTCTTCCGCCTGCTCCTTTTGCCCTGCCTGCCCGTTTGCTACCGACCCGGCCTGCCCGACTACGCTTAGTATTGTTTCTATTGTTATCTGTTGGAGGTTTGGGTTGGTTGGTTTGCACTGTGTTGTTGTTTAGTCTTGCACTGTGTTTATGTTTTGTTTAGTCTTAATAAATTGTCTTATTCACACTATACCTGAAGTCTGCGTTTCCCTGTGTCAGTCCACACTTTTCTGGTCATACCCAGATCCCTAACAAATATTAATAAAGAATATTGCAATTTAAGTGTCACAAAAACATATATATATATTAAAACAAAAAGTCCAGTGACACATACAAAAAGAAGTGCAGTGCCCCACACAAAAAACTTATTTTCATTAAAAATCTACAGTGCCAATAGTGATCCTTCCACCATCCACCAGTGCAAAACCAACATGAACCGTACTCAGGTCTTGCTACAGAATATGTGTACAAGGCTGTTAGGTCAATTGGAGGAATATCCATATCTTTGAGGTGGCAATAGTTGGAGGATACAAAGGGGGTCCAGGAGCCCTAATTAATCCTGAAAGGCGTTATACTCACCAAATATCTGGTGAGTGCGGTTCATGCTCACTCTATCATATTATTTAATGAATAAGTTATTTATCATTGTTCACATATATTGATTGGTGTGAGGTAGTTTGTGTTTTGCGCTGTTTTTTAAGTTGATAATTTTATGGAAGCCATTCATGCCCATGCCATCACACTGCCTCCACCATGTTTTACAGATGACGTTGTGTGCTTTGGATCATGAGCTGTTCCAAGCCTTCTCCACACATTTTTCTTTACGTCATTCTGGTACAGATTAATTTTAGTTTCATCTGGCCAAAGAATGCTTTTCCAGAACTGGTCTGGCTTTTTTAAATGTTTTTTTGACAAAGTCTAATCTGGCTTTTCTATTCTTCAGGCTTATGAATGGTTTGCACCTTGTGGTGAACCCTCTGTATTTGCTCTCGTGAAGCCTTCTCTTGATTGTAGACTTTGACAATGATATGCCCACCTCCTGGAGAGTATCCTTCACTTGCCTGGATGTTGTGAAGGGGTTTTTCTTTACCATAAAGAGGATCCTGCGATCATCCACCACTGTTGTCTTCCGTGGGCGTCAATGCCTTTTTATGTTGCTGAGCTCACCAGTGCATTCTTATTTCCTCAGAATGTACCAAACTGTTGATTTAGTCACTCCTAATGTTGTTGCTATCTCTCTGATGGATTTGTTTCATTTTTGAAGTCTTACAATGGTCTGTTTCATTTGCATGGCTAGCTCCTTTGAACGCATGATGTAGGTTCACAGCAAATACTACACTTAGACATCAACTCCAGACCTTTTACCTGCTTAATTGATGAAGAAATAACAAATGAGTAGCCCAAACCTGGCCATGAAACAGATTTTGATTC